TCAGTCTTGGACATTCTCCTGACTAGTTGTATAACATCAGCAGGAGCTTTGTACAGGGTGGGTTTGAATGTTCTCTCCCCTCTTCGCCCCCCATTTCTACCCCTAGTACAATCTATGTGAAACATAGCGCTTCCCGCAACCTGCAATTCCCTTCCAGCTGGTTCTCTGGCTTTATTTCCCTCCAGTGAAGAAAATTTAGTGCCTCCACTGGACGTGGGCAAGTTATACATTCTCTCTGAGCCTCAGTTTCTTCATCTTTAAAACAGATACATTAATGCTTTAGCAGGCATTCTGTCGCGTGCTGAGGCAGGCTTGTGAGTCTCCAAAGAAATTATTTACGTAGAAGCGCTGTTTAAACTGTTAGGGCAAATACAAAAGATACTTTCATTGCTATTACAACCACTTGTAACACAGCATACCAGTTGATGAAACAATTCTAAATGGGTTCGTCACTGTACTTCAGGGCTTAGGTATCTCATTTATCTGCACAATATGTCTGCGAACTAGATGTTATTTTCATTTGACACCAAAATAAAACCCAGAAAGACCAAGTAATTTGCCTAAAGCTGTGAAGCTATTAACTGGCAAACCTGGAATTTGAAGTCGTTTTCTCTGATATAAAGATCCATTTGACTTATCATAATTGGGCTTCCAGTGGGAACATCGAGGCGGCTGGTTTTTTGTTTTAAGTCTATCGAGCACTAACTGTATGTCAACTACTGAGCTAAGAATCGTACCTTCATTACTTTATGAGCTAAGCAGGGGCACCATTGTCATTTTGGCTGGATCTTTCTATGTTCTGGGGCCCGTCTTGAGCAGCGAAGGATATTGAGAAGCATCCCTAGTGTCTACCTATTAGATTCCAGGAGCATCTCTCCCCCAGACATGGCCACGTGCCTCCTGGAGGCAAAATCACTTCCGAGTGAGAATCATTGTTTGAGGCTAATTCTGTTTTACAAGTGATGAAAATAAAGTAGAGTTTAGGGTCCAAGGTCACAGAGCCAGTAAGCAGCAGAATTTCTGTCTGTCTGACTTAGGGCTTCAGAACTGGATCTCATCACCCCCGCCCCCACACCCCCAGCATCCCTTTTTTCTCATATTGAGGTGCGTTTCTAAGGAAACTCAGGTCACCATAGCAGGTGACTTTTAAGAGTGTGCCTGCCCCTAAGCCAGATTCGCCATCAAGATTTGATCCAGGGATGAGAGATGTACACACAGGAAGAGACCTTGGGTTGCTTCCACCCGTGGTCCCCACACAAATAACTCTGCGACTGTGCCTGTACCCCTCACAGCTGTTCTCACTTCATGTAAAGTATGAAGATGTTTTTTCATCCAGGACAGTTTCGATCTGTTGCAGAGAATAGTTGGGTGAAGCACAAAGTTGCAAACCAGTTTAGTCAGTCGTGGGGAGTTTCTAGAGGGACTGAAATAGCCCTGCCAATGTAGGTCGCTATTTTTAAGGCTGAGCTAAGTGTTTGAAAGTGGTTCACACAGCCATGATCTCAGGTTGAAGTCACAGAACATCGGAGTTGCAAGGAATCTCAAGGCCTGGCCTGTGACAAGTGGAAATTGACCCTCTGCACCAAGGATCACACACACATAGCAGGGATTAATGGCTGCTCGAGAAGACGGTCTGATATTTTCTTCTCCTTTGACAATGGCTGAACTCATCAACTTCTGACCTTATAGGAGGGTCTAGCTGGGGCTGGCTTCAGCCCCTTCAGCCCCCTCTTGCCTCCTCTTGCCAGACTGGAAAAGAATAGATGACCAAGCCTTTTCTTTCACCCTTTTTCTATTTTGAGACTAGATAAAGCCATTTATACTTGCATCACTACCCAAAGTCCTGGGTTCTCTCGAGGGGTAGGTAGAGATTTATTTAGCGGATACTTTACAGCACATACCATACTGTGTTCTGGGCATCGTACTAAATGCTTCCCAAAACTCATTTAATATTTTATCAAAGATGCGGTCCTGTTACCATGATCCCATTTTCGCCATATTATAGAAGGGTATCTGGAACTAGGGGTTAGTTGCTCAAGTTAATGGAAAATAAGTGACAGAGCCGGGGTTGAAGAGAGACTTATTCTAATCCAGTGGGTCTCAGACTTGACTTGGTACCAGCAAGGCCTGGAGGCTGGTAACACAGATTGCTGGGTCAGCTCCATCACCTCAGAGTTTGGAGTTCAGTAGATTTTGGGTGATGCCCAAGAATTTGCATTTCTAACAAATTCCTAGGTGCTGCTGCTGCTGCTTCTGGTCCTGAGACCACACTTGGCGAATCTCCCTCTCCAGCGGGCAAGCTCTTAACTGCCACAGACTGCTACTCCTGTCTAGTCAGTATTAGAGGGGGCTCCAGGCCACACAACCAGGGGCTCCGCTTTATACGCACTGGCCCTGCTGCTGCTCTACAAGAGGCCACCTCTTTGCCTCCAGGTGGGAAAAACTATCTTTCAGCAGTGATGGGATAGAGGGCATTCGAGAGTGCTGGAGAGTTTGGTGGAGCCACAGAAATGCGAGCTGGGCTAGATGTTCCCTGGAGTGGAAGGTACTCTCCCAGCGGAGAGTAAACCGCCATCTTCCAAGGCTAGATATGCTTGGGGTAGACTTCTGGTTATCACACTGTGTGGAAGCAGAAGCCAAGTCCTTCTATAATTATGATCTTCGTCCTTGATTTTCCTCCAGACCATTATGGTTCGATTTGTGTTATATTTTTTTCTACTTGCACTTCTAGTTTGCTAAGTCTCACTAATGCTTTTCCGACGCACGTATTGTATGTGAACACATTGTCAACATGTCGTTTTAATTATTCAGTTATTCGTTTTCTATCAGCACATGTCCCTTGACTTGAATGAACTCAAATAACGTTTGTGAATTTTTCCGATATTAGCATGACACTTGGTGTTTCATGACAAAAGGCTTTATTGGAAAACAACTTGCTGAGCTGCTGTGTACTGCTTCCTGAACATACTGTACAGGACGAAATGTAGTTTATAATAACATTCAGCCTTCCTCCAGCTCATTATTACAATTCTGTATATTACGCATAAGTTGTATTAGGAAGCCTGCGTCTTTCTTTTAATGATTTAGACTTCAGGCTTGGGGGACGGAGATGAAAGAAGGGAAAAGAGACAAGATAAGTTACTGTATTTGTTTTTAATAAGTTAGTCCCCTCTGGGAAAGCTTAACATTCTGATATAGCACATAATATAGTAATCCAGAATAAATGTTGGAATTCTCTTCATAGGCTTCTTTTTACTTACAAGAATATTCTCTGTGTCACCTATTACTATACGAATGCTTTTACAAAACTTTTTAATAACAGAGGATGCTGCGTTCGTCCCTCTAAGGGCTTGTTTTCTTGGTTCCGCCTTAGAAAGCAGTGCAGAAAAATTGATGTTTGTTGTTAGTACCTCAGGATCGAAATTCATGTGTTCGCTCACTGCAGGGAAGCAGCACGTTTAAAAAAAAAAATCAGAGGAAATTGCCCCTGCTGACTTTTGCATGATGAAGAGGAACAGAAACAGTCGCCATGTCTTTTTTTTTTTTTTAATAGTCAACGGATAAGAAATAACTCAATGGCGGCATTCTAAATTTGCCAGACCTATATTAAGTTTGTGAACTCTTTTGCTCAACACACTTTATGAAGGATGTGGGAAAACTGAAAGGAAGTTAAAGAAAAGTGACAGAGTTGGTTAAAATTATGCAAAACAGTTCTTCTCCAGAAAACTTACAGGAAATGGGCTTATTACACCTGGGGGTGAGTGTTGGGTTATGGTCAGATGTATGAGTTGGGTGGTAGGGGTGGGAGTTGGGTGAGTTACCCTGGGGAATTAAAAGTCTCCCCTCCTCAGAGAAAGGTTGACACCTCTGATTTGAGTGTTTGCTACAGGAAGTCAACAGTTGTACATGTCGTACAAGTCGGCTGGGGGCTTTTTTCTAATTGTGTAAAGGGCTCCCTGGTACACTATTGAAACACAGATTCTAAGGCCCTGGAAATGTCGTCACTGCTTTTCCCCACACACCTCGGTCCAGACTGTAATTTGGGACCACCCAGAGAGGACATTGCAGGCTTTTCAGAGCAACCTCACCTGGAGCGAATGGCTTAAATCGTGAGGGATGCTAGTGGCTCCTAAAAGGTATCGCTTGCCTCCTTTCCGTGGTTAAGCTCTGAAGGAGTTTTGGACATTCACGACAGAATGATGGAATTTCTGCAAGTCCTGGCAGAAGCAAGTGGCCAAGACCCAGTGATGCTGTAGAAACTGGGCTCAGGCCTTTGGTTACGGATTATAACTGTGCTGCACTGTCCATCACAGCTCCTTGTCACATGGAGTCACTTGCCCTTCCCTCTTGCTCTTGGATAGTTGTGCTTCTAGAAAATTCTGACTTATCCTTTCATTTTGCTGCTGAGTCACATTTAAGGTACGGACTGGAAATTGTAAAAGCTAATGTGTGCATTTTCCTTGCAAATTAAATTCAGAGGTACTGTGACTCACCTTGACTAGAGTGTGGTTTATACGAGTGGAAATCGTGTCTTTCAGTCACAGGAGCCCAGGAAACTGAGGCTTGGAGTTATTCGTTTAAGACCCATAAAAACTGCAATCTGTTGTCTCGTGATATTTATTTATGTGCCAAACTGTCCCAATACCTAGTCTCAGGATCACCTAGAGAATGGAAAGTGTACAAAACTTTTGTTCAAAATCGGCTTGTTTGCCTCCGGAAAGTTACTTAATCCTTTTGAGCTATTCATTGTTTCCTCATCTGTAAATTGGAATAAATACGCTTACCTTATAGGGCGTCTGTTTAAAAAGTAAACATGACATTATAAAGAAAAATCCAGAGCGTGGTACCTGATGCAAAACAGTCTTTATCGTCGTTTATTTAATCAGTTGAGGATACAGCGCACAGCTGAGAGGAGCAAGTCCCGTGGCCCTTCTAGAGTTTGTCTCAGAGGAAGTATGCAGGAATCAGGTATAATGATGCTCTTCTTCCTTTTTTTCCAGCCACAGGACGAAGTCTTCAGGCTGGCCGCCTCCCTCAGGAACCTGGGGCTTGAACCAGGTGCCACCCTATGGATGGGAGATGATGGCGAACCGGGATGGACGGGACTGCTTCATCAGGTAGGTTGAACAGGTGGCCTGAACAGTAAAATCTTTGGCTTTTTGGACATCTCTGTTTTGACCCTCTACTCAGAAAAATTAATCTACTTAAATTAGAGACTCACAAGTATTTAGAAGCCATTACTCAAGCAGCTGGATCTCCTGTGCCTTCGCGCATCTCGTAACATGAGGTTGCTTTGTTCTTGGACAGGTGCCACCTTAGAGTGACAGTTCCTGCTGTAGCACGGTAATCCTGAGTCAGAGCAGAAGCGTTCGTTAATAAATCCAAGGCTGGCTGTACTCATTGGCTGAGGCCAACATTGAAGTTTGACAAGGGAGAGTACCAATGTATAGGATGCTTTCTAGAAATGGTCAAGACGGAAATGTTACTGACTCACCTGTAATTAGAAAAGTCAGCTAAGAAGATCATGTACATTACGAGTCGTGTTGTAAATTGCTCACACTGACATCAGCTAAGGTTTTGGATTTTGGTGGTATTCTTTTTTTTTAATTGTGGTAAAATATATATAACATGAAATTGACCACGTTAAGCATTTTAGTTGCACAGTGTACAGTTCAGCGGCATTCAGTGTCTTCACAGTGTTGTGCATCCATCATCACTATCCATTTCCAGAACTTTTTTTTTTTTTTATCATCCCCAGTAGCAACTTTGTAACCATAAACAGTAGCTCCCTCCTCCCCATCTCCCAGCCCTTGGTGAATTCTATTTTACTTTCTGTCTCCCTTAATCTACCTATTTATGTACCTCACCTACGTGGAATCATACAGTATTTGTCCTTTTCTATCTGGTGTAATTCATTCAGCATCATGTCCTCAAGGTTCATCCATGTCGTAGCATGTGTCAGAATTTTATCCCTTTTAAGCCTGAACGATACCGTTGTGTGGATATGTATACCACATTTGTTTATCCATTCATCTGTCAGTGGGGCGTTGGCTTGCTCCCACCCTTTGGCTCTTGTCAATAGTGCCGCCGTGATCATTGGTGTACAAGTGTCCCTTTGAGTTTCTGTTTTCCCCTTTCTTGGAGCTCGGCTTACAAGTGGAATTGCTGGATCAAATGGTAAGTCCACGTTTACCTTTCTGAGGCCCCATCAAACTGTTCTCCGCAGCAGCTGCAGTGCTCTGGTGGTTTGCAGTTGTCTGAGAAGAATATTTAGATCACCCTTCTCACGACGGCAAGGGTCCGCCCTGCTTTCTTCTCTCACCTATGTGAAATGTTCATAATTAGGGGAAATCAGAGACAGAGATGTGCAATCAGGAAGCACGGTTTGCCCTACTCTGATACAATTGAGCAGACATTGGTGGCCCAGGGAGAAAAAACTTTCACACCACAGGCTACGTTCTTTGTTTCAGCCAAGCTGACTGTGGACTGATTGGCAAACATAGGATCACCATGAAGTGGGGGATCATTTTTATAAAAATTAAATTAATCTGCCAAGATTAGTGATTTGGTCTTCAGGCCATCCCAGCACCTCTGTGTTAGGACCATTGGAAAGTAGCTAGGGGGACAGCTCATGTGGCTGTCATGGCCAGTTTCCCAGTCTCCGAAGCCCAAACTTCTCCCTAGAATTGCTGCTGAGGGATTTGCCTCCTGGGTCCATCCTAGGAAATTCAAGTTGCCCTTGAACATGAGCCTATCCCAGGAGCCTGTGGGAAGTGGCCCACTGGCCCTTAAAGGCTTTCCTAATGACGTGCTCTCAGAGGAACTACAATGACAATGGCAGTGGGAGTAGAATCTCCCAGAAAGCTCCAAGATTGGAAGAAAGGCCAATAGTTTTGCTCACACACTAGATTCTGAATAGTTAATTGTACTCGATTTGCCCAAGTCTCTCATACTGCTAGAAAGATGCTATTTTGTGATATTATACGGTGCCATCTAGTTGGTAACATGGTCATGAATATATGTAATTGGCTCACTTGAGGTGCCCTAGATGCTGTGATCCAAAACAGTGAAAACTTCTGCCAAATAAATGTAATTTAAAAAAAAAAACGTGGATTATGAATTGTGAAGGTATAGCTCAGACTTCTCCAATTGCAATGAATTTTTCTTTTTCCTTGGTCGGATTTGGGTTCTGCTATATTTCAAGCCATTTGATTAATGGTTAGAAACCAGAGCCAACCCAGGTGGCAATTTAACATTTACAGTGGCCTAATGCCAACTGTTAAAATATGTAAGAGGAAATCAGCAATTTGATAGAGAAACTTGCACTGGTTACCTAACGGCAAGTTTTAAAACCAAAGTCACCACTGTGACTTTTTCAAATCTGTGGCATTTGTTTTGTTTTGTTTTGTTTTTTTAACTTGGAAAGTAAGTTTCCACAGTCTTTTCAGAGATATTTTTTTAAGATGTCAAGAACACTAGTTCTTTGGAAAGTGTTTGTTCTTTCTTTGTCAGTAATGAGTTTTAGCAATAATATAAATCATTCTGATTTTTTCCTTACCTACTGAGTAATGTCCATTATAAAGAGATACTCTAATTACCAGCGTTTCTGGGGAGCCTGGGTTTGCAGTGTGGAGTATATCTCTACTCATTAGTTTTAGAAGCTAAAAGAACAATTTGAAAATTAATCTATGGTTAGTAATGAGCACCTTCACGTTGAATTTTTCAATCTTTTACATAATCTCTTTGAAAGAGATTAGATGTCTTCATTTGTTTTTTAATATTGTCTTAGGATCTAAATGATAACCTACACCAGATGATCGTTTTTGATGGCGGTACACCTACTTCTAAATGATGGACAAAGCTGTGGGAGGAACCGGGCTTCACGTGTTCCAAGTCAGAGCGTCATAGCTAAATAATGAGATAATTCTCTTAGCATGGGTCTTTCAGAACGTGGCCCAGGATAGTTCCAAATGTATTTAAATTTCATATTCCCTCTCTCATATCCCCAGTTATTTAGAATAAGATTGAACAACCTGGTTTTTTTTTTATAAAGCATTATTAATCCATAGGGTTAAAAAATTTGTAATGCCATTATTCACATGTTAAAGTACATTTGTATAATGTCGTATAGTCTGCAGACTAGTGGTTATCAACCTTGTCCGCACATTGCAATAGCCAGAGGCAGAAGTTCTGATGCCTGAGTGGTTTAGTCCATTTGGGCTGCTGTAATAAAATATCACAGAATAGGTGGCTTAAACAGAAATCTATTTCTCGCAGTTCTGGAGGCTGGGCACCCCAAGATCAGGGTGGCAGAATGTCACGTTCCTGGTGAGGGCTCTCTTCCTGGCCTGGAGACAGCTGTCTCCTCACTGTATACTCACTTGGCAGAGAAAGAGAGAAATCATCTGTCTGTTTGTGTTCTTATAAGGGCACTAATCCCATCATGAGGGCCCCACTCTCATGACCTTCTCACCTCCCAAAGGCTCCACCTCCAAATATCATCACATTGTGGATTAGGGCTCTAACATGTGAATTAGGAAGGAATGCCAATACTCAGTCCATAGCACTGGGTCTGGAGTAGAGCCCAGGAATAAGGAATTTCAGAAGCTCCCCGGGTGGTTCTAATGAACAGCTATGCTTGCAGCTCTAAACTACTTTTGTGCACGTGACCTCATTTAATAAGGAATCATTATCTCAATTCCCAGATGATAAAACTGAGACTCAGACTAAAATGGCTTTCTTTTTTTTTTCTTTTTAGCATTTTCTTTTATTTTACTATTAGTTTCAAGTATACAGTGCATTGGTGAGACATTTATATAGTTTATGGAACAATCCCCCCCGATTACTCTATCACGCCTCTGGCTCTACACACAGCCATTACCTTACTGCTGACTGCATTCCCTATGCCGTGCTCCCCATCCATGCGACCAGCTATCAACTACTAATTTGTACTTCTTTAACCCTTCATCCATTTCTCCCAGCCTCCCAATCCTCCTTCCCTCCGGCCGTCACCACATTGTTCTCTATATTTCTGCGTTTGTTTTCGATTAGTTTGGTTTTTTTTTTCCCTTAGATTCTGCATATAAGTGATATCAGATGGTATTTATCTTTCTCTGTCTGACTTATTTTGCTCAGCATAATAACCTCTAGGTCCATCCACGTTGTTACAAATGGTAGGATTTCATTTTTTTACGGCTGAGTAACTCCCAAAGTTTACACACATGTACCAAGTCTCAACACATTGCTTTTTCAGAGAAACCAGATCCCCCATTAAGGAAGAGCAACTTTCCTTGATATTATTAGAAAAATATGAAATACAGTTTTTCGAGGAACAGAGACCATTGCTTAAAAAAACGTGACAGATGTAAAATTAAAATTTCTCAGTTTTTTGTTGTTGTTGTTATTACCAGTTAAGAGAGAGAGCAGAGCAGGGGAAGGGAGAGAGACAGATATGATGAGAGCAACTATTAGGAAATGAAAGTCTCAGAAAAGAGAGTGTCTTAGTGAGAAATGGATAAGAGAAGAAGAGATGAATCGAAAAAGAAATGAAGAGAAACAGAAAGCGAGATACTCTGAGATGCTTGTTATAGCAGCATCGGTAAATAATAGGTATGGGTGTAGGTGTGGATGCAGGTGGATATAGATATAATAATGGATATGAATAGAGATTATATATATATATGCAGATATAGATGGATATAGAATATAGATACAGATGATATAGGTGACATAGACATACATGAGTAACCATACAACTGGGGACGCCCAGGAGGCTCCTGGTTTATGAGTATTGTTCTGACATATTTACTGATACCTCTCAGAGAATTCTGCTTTGGATTATACAACATAACTCTATTTATATATCACACTACCGAAGTTTAGAAAATCCTTTCAAGACATTAGATTTCATTTAATTTTGACAACTGTCCTGTTAGGTAGTTAAGGCACATAGAGGAATCTCCTTTTCGTGGAAAAAGCTCGGGTTCAGAAGGACTGGGTTCTCCACGTCCTATGGCTCGTCACATCACTGTTTGCACCACACCTTCAGACTCTAAGGCCTTGGTCCTTTTGGCTCTGTCATGGAGTTTAATCCATACTATATCCCTCGATATTCTAT